GGGGGCAAGTAGGATAAAATAATTTAATACTTTGATGCTGAATTTATTAAAATGCAATTCAGTTATACTAGTCTATGAACTTAATGTATCCACCACCCTTATCTGTATGTGGGACAGTAGCTTTCTCCAACCTGTCTCAGTCCTCCAGGCTTGCTTCCAACCCTGAACTCGTTGGTGAGCTTCTTTCTTCAGTTCTGTACCCTCCAGAAAGTTGTGAAAACAGCATCATATCCCACACTGACTTCAAGTTTAACTTCTCTCACTCTATGTAATGTACTTGAGACTAACTCACAATGCTGTTTTAATAGCAGCTTTTCATTTTATTAGAGTGCTATTTCATTGCACTAACTTGTCGGTTTGTTTATCTATCACCAGGTGACAAAAATGAGTCGTTTACAGTTTGGGACTGGGCCTTGTAAGGAACTACATGTTAGACAAAGGAGTTGCACATTTGTATTTCCACCAGGAACATATAAGAATTTCAGTTGCCCTGTGTAACACTCATTTTAAAAAGCATTTTGATCATCATAATGTCATGTAGTATTTTGCTTCATTTTAAATTTCTCTAATGATGAATGATATTAAGCATCTTTCTTCACAACCCAAGGCAGTTTATTTGCTTTTATGTACCTTCTTTAGTAATGTAGCTTCAATCTTTTCCTAGTTTGGGTTTTGTTTTTGCTTTTGCTGGAGATTCAACCCAGGGCCCAACCTGCATTTGCTAAGCACATGGTCTACCTCTGAGCTACACCTTCGGCCAAACTGTTTATTTCTTATTTATAAAAGTACGTTTTGGGGGACTGTAGAGATGGCTCAGCAGTTCAGAGTACTGGCTGCTCTTGCAGAGGATCTGGGTTCGATTCCCAGCGCCCACATGGCAGCTAACAACTGTCCATAACTCCAGTTCCAGGGGATCTGATACTCTCTTCTGACCTCCACAGGCATTACATGACATGGGTGCACTTACAACACATGCAGGCAACACACTCATACACATAAAATAAAAATAATAAGTAAAATAAAATAAAAGTGTGATTTCCTATATATTATGAATACCAGTCTGACATTAGATGTGAATTTAGCAAATATTTTCTCCAAGCTGAAAGTGGTGGTGCATACCTTTAATCCCAGCACTTAAAAGGCAGACGCAGAGGCAAAGGCAGAGGCAGCCTAGTCTCCGAACTAAAACAAAACAGTTTTCTCTATAGGTATATATTCTTTTTTAGATACTCTACTTCTAAAGGTTTTTAAAACTTTTAAATTTATGTCTATGATCCATTTCAAGTTAAGTTTTGTAGGAGGTTAGAATATTTGCTGTGTATTGAAAGGTATTCCTCCATAATTCATATGCCATAAGCACCAGTGACTAGAGAGGTCTATAAGGAGGTAGCTAATGTTAAATTAGGTTACAAAGATAAGGCACTATTCCATAGTATCAGTGTCCTTATGAGAAGATATCAGAGACTTCACCTTCCTTCTCACCTTGCGTACTCAAAAGAAGGGCTGAGAAGATGGCAAAAGAGGCCGTCTATGGCCCAAGAAGCCTAAGAATAAAACCTACCCTACCAGTACCTTTATCTTGGACTTCCCAGTCTCTAGCACTGTGAGAAATATTTTTTGTTCTTTCACATATTTTTATTACAGTTCATTTCTCATACCCAGTATATGTACATTTATTATGAACTTTGAGAATCTTCACTGGGTCACAGGATATACTCACATGTGAGGTACATGCTATGTGCATGTGCTTAGTTGGAAGACCATGCATACAAAGATTATGCCCATATCTGAGACTGAATATTGGATGAACTTTACCAATAACCTATGATGCTCATCTCTACAACCCAAGGCAGCTTAAAGAATTGCCACATGTACTTGAAAATACAGAAGGGGACACCTCTCCCATCAGTAAGCATTTGCTGTTTAAGGAATGATCCCTAAATGTTGGAAAGTTCCAAATTTTCTCTTTTACTGTAGAAATATGTCTTAGTTTGTTCTTCATTGCTGTGACAAAATACTCTGACCACTACCAACTTGGGGAGGAAAAGGTTTATTTAACTTACATATCCCAGGTCACAGTTCATCTGGGAGCCCAAGGTAGGAACTCAGGGCAGGAACCGGAGCACAGGCCATGGAGGAATGCTCCTTACTGGCTTGCTTTCTGGCCCCTGCTCAGCCTGATTTCTTATGCAACACAGGCCCACCTGCCCA